CATAGAAACTGTTGGATTTGGACCAATTGGACTTAAGGCTAGGGCTAAATGGACTTAAGGCTAAGGCTAAAAAAAAGCATTGGACTTAAGGTTAGTAACAACACTGCCAGACACCGATAAACAGAATTGAAGCCGATGCATATAATAAAAGCGAGCAATTTATATAAATTAATTTAAAAATGGTATCCTTCTTCTAAAATCGTAGAAACTATATTAGACACTACAAAATAAAGATATATGATGAATTAACGGTTCTTCCGCATAGCAATAGTATAAATTTGAATGATTTCTACGAACCAATAAAAACATTGAGTTTGGTGTGTCATGTCCGATGACAAAGCCGCCAACGATGGTTTATAAGTTAAAAAATATTTATATTATTTCAAATAACAATAACATATCTCAAACATGAAACCTGTTGAAATCTTGTTGAAACCATTAAGATATCAATATATGATCCACTAGGTATTACTGTATTATGTCCTTTCTAAAATTAAATTTTTATAAATTACCACGCCCTTGGATGTGTGCAATTATTTGACTACTTTCATCTGATCTTAACAAGTTAGCAATTTCTTGGCTCAAAAAATAATTAGGTGCGTCAGAGTAAGAGCTTTCATTAAAATGTATGTTTGAAGGCTGGTACATTATAAATGTAACGAGGAAATTCAAGAAAACTGTTTTACATTTTACAGTACGATCACTTATTAATTCGATGTCTTTACTTGGTGGAAATTTTTTACGTTATTTAACATTGTTAATACTTATTATCTTTTATTTAGTTTTATTATTTCAGTATTTGCAATATAAGATGCGTTTTCATATTTTTTTTATTGAGAGATTACTTATGATTATTAGCTTCGACGAATTAGTTTAACGAATTAAAAATTTGATATTTATTAATCATGTATTTTAATTTTTATTGAAAAATTAATTTTTAAAAAATATTTATCGTATCGCATTGTCTTTAATACCCGGATCTTATCAGAAAAAAAAGAATATTATAGATATTCATGGGTACTTTGTGCACGAGCTGGGGATATTGTGACATGGTGGTATTACACTTCAATAATTTTCAATTATATATATTAAATCTTAATACCCGGATCTTATCAATATTATAGATATTCATGGGTACTTTGTACACGAGCTGGAGATATTGTGACATGGTGGTATTTACTTCAATAATTTTCAATTAATACAATTAACTCTTCCTAAACACTATAGTTTTTAATCACTCGTTGATGGTAGTTTAATCCAACCCAACAGTTCCAAAATTTTGCCTTCGTATAATTCTTAAATAAATCTAATTGCTAAAAATTTTTTCTACTTTAATGTTTTCGTCAATAGTTTCATCTAAATTTTTAAAAACTACGCGATCATAATTTGACCCCTTCGATTCTGATCTATATAGCCAGTTATAACTAAGTCTCGTGATTGTGGTTTCCTTTTAGGAAACCCTTAAAAAGGCCAATTACCCGTTATGATTTACTGATGTCATGTGACAAATAATCATGTTTTACAAAGGTGGATTTTTGTTTGTTTGTTAAGAGAGAGCAATTTCTAGTAAGATGCGTTCTGTCGAGAAGAATTACCTGGTATCCTCTCCAGAGTCTTCTATTTAAGCGCATTCTCTTTGTTGCCAATGAAGTCTACTGACTTCGAAAAAAGAAAAATAGGCGCTTTCATTTATTATTAAAAATCATTTTGTTTACTGGTAACAATAGGTTGAAAAAGAACGATCTGAACGTAAGAAACTCTTGGAAGAGTATTAGAACGATATTGTATACAAAGAAATTAGTAAGTAAAGCTTTTATGTATTTCAGCTACATGTGATTTGCAAAAACCTTATAATTTAGTTATGCTATTTGTAAAATTTTATAATTTAATTGCACGACTAAATCAAACTTTTGTTTGACACTCAAATACTAGCTTTAAATCAATACAGCAATATGGTAATGCGATAATACAGTAATACAGTATTGCTGTATTGATTTAAAAGTCAGCCCATCACATGTATTTGAGCGACAAAAAAAAGTTTGATTTTGCCGAACACTATGTACGACTTATAATCTTGTTATTATTCAGAGACAGAAGAGGGACTGGATTCTTTCACTTCTTTCAAAGTCTGTCTCAAATTACAAGAAAATGACATTAAAAAACATTGAATATTAAAAATATTTCTATTGATATAAGCAACGCAAATGATGATGGAACTGATATAAACAATAGTATTATAACTATTGTAAATGATAGTGCCAGAACATCTGAAATTGATCATTCAGAGCATCCTCTAATAACTAAAATATCATCACAGATTACTCTAGTAGAAACTGATACCGAAATTACAGAATAATTCAATTGATAATGATGAATCTAATGAATCGGAGGAACATAATATTAGTTCGGATACGAATTTTTGAAGAACATCTGTTGCATCTCTTCTTAATACTGAAGAAATTCAGATAATACCGATATTGGATTGGAGGTTCCAAATGGAAGTACAAATCATCTATCAATAACAAGATCTTTGGTTAATTCAAATATTAAATCTGACAAATTGAGTATAGATGCCAATATTATTGATAAAAAACAATCAACTAAGAGAAATCAAGCGTGATCAACTCGTCCTAATTCTCAAGTCAAAATCATTAAGCTAGTAATACCTCAAAATTTGATACTGTTGATCAATCTATTTCTGATAACATGAAACATAAGCAACCTAGCAATGATCTCTTGTATTAATTTAGAATCAGACAAAGAAAGAAATGTAAGCAAGATGATTGTCAACAAAATGATAAGTTGCCAGAATGCTCTGAATAGAAAAAAAAAGGCTATTTTAACAGAAACAGATATTGATGATTCGATTTACATCTTTGTATTTGTAACTATATAAATGATGATGTCGAAACTGATATGAACAATGGGGTTCTACACAAAATCCCAAAAACACCTTCCCGAAAGAACATAATACCGAATAAATTGGCTAACTTTGTCGGAATTAGGTCCTTTCGGGAATCCGTCTTCCGGGATTTTATGGTAAATCTGAACAATGGTGGTGGGACTGATGTAGATGATGCTGGGACCAATGCCATTAATAGAATATGTGAAACGTCCCAAGCTAAAATGAAAGAATTGAAAGAGCTATAGAAGATCTTAATAATAACATTAATAGAATATATGAAATATCCCAAGATAATGAAACTGCGAGGCCTGTAAACAATAACATTGTTAATAGCAATATTAGTGATAATAGTTTGGCTACTACTTCTGCTAATAAAAAAAAAAAAAGACTATAGAATATGATAGTTTATCTTCTTATGATAAAGGAAAAAGGAGAGCTGAAGATGATATCAAAAATGATAGCTCAGTTCTGAAAATAAAAAAAAAAATTGAAAGAGCTATACTGGACATAAACGATGTTGAAACTAATGTAAACAATAGTGTTAGAACTACTGTATCATTATTAGTTTTTTATACACGAAGTCTTCTTTGGTTTGATGATGGGGTTTGCTTTTCATCAAAGGTTCATTATTGTAGTTAATTTCTTTGCGTGCGCAAAGTCTTTAGCTTAATGATAATAATGGATCTTTGGTGAAAAGCAAACCTGTAGAATTAAAAAAAAATCATTTATAATATCGGATCTTCAGTGAAAAGATGACGCAAAGATAAAAGCGTATGCATATTTTTATTTTTATATGAGTGACGAAAAGGGACAACCTGTAAACCATTTCACTCATTATCATTGCAGTGATATTTCTATTCTATAAGAATTAGGGGTACATATCACTGCGATGATAATGAGTGTAATGGCTTACAGGTTTTCCTTTTTCGTCACTCATATGCTCTTGAGATTTTTATAAGTAAAAAGTTAAGAAATGAATGAGCAATGCGGTTTCTATCAATTATTCGCTTGTAATAGATATCAACATCATCAGTATCGTCGTCGTCTTTAAGAATTTGTAATGGCAAATGTCTGTTATAATGTACTAGGCAAAGTTTTAGATATAATCAAAAAAATTATCAGGTATAATCTACTAAACTTTCTTGATATAATCAAATGATGAGTTAACAAAAATTCCGATCACGAACAATAGAATGTCATAAAAAAATCCAAATACCCATATTACATTGGAAACGTCAATGTAACAACGAAAAATTGGTGTAAATGTAACACCTATTGTCTAACAAAAGGTTAGGCCAGCGGTTAACATGGAATTGATAATTTTGTTAAAGAAACTCGGTTAATTGCTAAAAATCAATTCTACTAGTAATACCAATATAATAAGCTTTATAAAATTTTATTACAGTAACTCAATAATAATTTTATTGTTGGAAACATATGATCAATTAATAGAATGTTCGAAATGAATAATAGATTCAATTTATAATTAGATTTGTAATTAAGAATTTGTGATGCAATAGACGATAGATCGATGTATCTTCATATACACGAAGATGTTCTATGTATTTTCGTACAACCTACTTAATTAAAAGTACTAAAGTGTACAAAAATGACCAAAAAGCATTAAACCTACGTGTAATTTGAGAATGGCTGATCCATTATCAGTGATTTTGAACGAATGTCACAAACTCTAGGATTAAGGCCAAATTTTTAACTTAAGCGAAAGCTAAAATTTGAATATCAGAATAAGGTTCATCCGTTCTTGAGATATCAGAAATGAATAGCACTACTATTTGCATTATAATTCTCACTACATTGTATATTTTATCGGTATCTTAAATGCACACACTATGTTGCACATGTACACCTGGTACTAGGAACGTGCACTCATGAAACTCATGAAGATGTTAATGAGGAGTCTGATTCTTATATAGGTTTCCAGTATGAAGCTCGACTTTGAAAAAAAAGAATATATAAAAAATATCGACAGACTAACAAGCACCTAAATTCATAGGTCGGACGAAGCTCGATTTTTAATTAGCACAAAATATGAAAAAAAAAAATAGTCTGACCTTCTGACCATCTTTTTTTATCAGAGTTGTGCTGATTGGCTAAAATTTAATATCCGCATTTCGCAACATGAATCTTTAGCAAAATTATCGTAAGGATTACTTAAATTAATTGTAGTACTTGTGCACGACCTCGATCATTAGCCAATCACATAGAGAGATGCTTGAGAGCACCCTAAGCCGAAATTAACTTTACCGAATTTTTAATTAATGGCAAGTATTTCTCATCTTCATAGAGGGTTTCATATATATCGATCAGAATCAACTTTTTTTATACATCAAACTACTAAATTATTTCCTATATTCTGGTGAAAATGTTTCATATGAAGCTTTGCCATAAGAACTTTTTTAAAACTCTAACAAGAACTCATAATTTTTAAAACTTTATCTTTGGAACTTTAATCATGACTGTACCACTCATCATAGCAATAACTTTAAAGAATTTACTTAAAAAAAAAGTGTTACCTAATCAATTCTATTTATTGCTATATACTAAGTTAAATTAAATGTCCAAATATCGACCTCAGTGGTTTCCATTCCCTAAAAAATGTAATATGTATGCGCACGTTCGAATATATAAAAGAATTCAATGTATTACGAGTAAAGTACAATATATATATATTTATCCGGCAAACTCATATGATCATGAAAAAATTTCTTTTTGTTATTTTTTTCATTTGTTACGATGTAATTATGTTTATTCCAATATTCAAAATTAAAACTCAGCGAGCGACTCCCTACCAATCATGATCATAAATTGCCGGATAACACCAATATTGGGCAAATTGTCGAATACGGTAATTTGACAAATGATTGGCTACACGTGCCGCAAAGCGGCACGTGCTCATTTGCCAAATTACCTGTTATTCGACAATTTTTGCCCAATATTGTATACATATATATATATAGTGCTAAATAGGTTAAAAACTTTGCTCTTATAAACACAGTAGTATATAGTGCGATTCTTTATATATTATATACCACCAAAAGGATATCTAACCAATATCAACACCAACGACTCTTAAAATTAAACCCAACATTAACATACAATACGGCAGATCATGTGATTCCCTACGATCAGATAAAAAGATCCGACTCTTTCAAATATTTGATATTTTTAGCCCCATTAAAATCCTGATCGATATTCAACCCACATGAAACGCAAACGAATTTCTTCCTTCCACCCAATTTCTAGCTCACCCACCCACATCGCCCACATGTCTTGGAGGTCCATTCTTTGGTGCATACAATCATGAAACTCATGATTTCTGTGATTGTTTTTCCTTACAGTATTAAAATTATCATTAGTGGGTAACCATAATGCTTGGGACAATTCTTGAGTCTTTGTCACTCCATGACCATAGTCGCAGATTATTTTTTATTGTTTAGGTTTACGTTTCATGATTCCAACTCAGCATAACCTGAAGTTGTAGTCTGAAAAGAGACTTCTAAATACTGCTGCCGAATTTAACTTTGGACTACAAACATAAAAGGATTAAATATTTATAACCGAAGGTAATTCTATAATGGGAGAGCAGTTTTATTGTATTTATTAAATGCGCGTGATAATCTTCTCTTTTTTACGAGAAGCGATTCTTTATTTACATATATAATTATGAATACGAGGTAAGAGAAACGGTATGAAAATAACTATTTACATATAAATGAAGTGAGAATAATAACGCAAAATTTGTTCTTTCGGAGTAAATGGTTGTGTTCAATTAATTTTCACACAAAACTAAAATACCAATCGCATCAACCTCATCATACAACGATAAAGTTCTTGAAAATTTGACTGACATGATAGTATATCAGATATGATTTAACGTAGAGTCATTGACTTCAAAATTAGCGTCACCATGAGCACATACAGAAATTGGATATTGTCTTTTCTCATCATTTTGTTTAACACTTTCTGGAATAAAATTTCTCTTATTATTATAAACATATCTAATAGCGTTAGAGTTATCATTTAAATTTAAATCTCGTTTTTGTGAATTCTTTTCAAGTTGGTGGGCATGAACTAAATACATGAATTTTGATGAATAGGGAACAAACGCAGTTTTAAAAGATAGTGTATCTAAAAGTAGAAGAGTTAATAAGAAAAATATGATCATATTTTTTGAGAGAAACAAAGACATAAGAATGACTTTTTCGTTATTATTATTAAGTGGAATCAAGTTTATACGGCAATTTTAATCGTTAAATGATTCTGTTAGACGGATAGGTGTACAGATACAGACTTTTTATATAATTTCCACGGTATAATATAAGTTTATTTAATTAATATTCTATATTAAAAGAAATTATAGCAATAAAATGTTTATTTAATAAGATACATGATTTATTTATCAATCACAAAATATTGATCACATATCATTTATTCATTGAAAAATAATTTTCCGACAATAAATCACTATTAATACACATTGTAGAATAAAAAGTAATATTATATACTGTACACAGCAACATCGTGGTAAGTAATGTTATTTATTTTAGAACAAAGAAAATATGAGAAATAAAAAATAAAGATATGTAAAGTAAAAGGAAAAACATATAAAAAAAAACTGTACAATATAATAACATGTGAAAATGTTAAAAAAAAAAAAAAAAAAGGAATCAAGAACAAAATAAATGATTATTTCTTAATGATCTTAAAGACTTCATATTCAGAAATGGAAAATTTTCGATGCTTGGTGATCCAAGTCTCATAATCGTCTTCTTTAGAACTGCAACTATCAGGCTGACTAAAATCACCCTGCATCCAAAGATCTTTATCCCCAAAACAAGGACCGTAACTTTCGTCTTTCATGGTGATAGCATAATTATATCTACTAACCCTGCTAATCTTTGCATCTTCTATTCGATTTCTATTTCCAAATGAAAATAGAAAACTATCCCTAGTTTCTAAATGTCCAGAACCGGTTTGCCATCTGATAGGATTATATCCACCAATAATTTCAGAAGAAGCAGCAACTTTCATTACAACAAAAGTAGGTCCTTGATTATCACATCTTTGATGAAATGTTTGAGAATCGAAACCATCACGACTTCCACGAATTAATAATTTAAATTTATAAGGAATATCAGCACTCAGTGTAGTAGTAGTAATATTTATATCATTTTTATCGATCCAATCAGCAATTTTTGACAATTGTTGATGAGCTATTAAAACAGAATTTCCTCTTGGAGAATTTGTACCGAACGTAGGTTTACTACCAACTTTCAAATGACATCTTACTATATCATCTTCTAATTCTTCAGGTAGAATGGCTCTAAACGGCCAAACCTTATCGTAAAGATCACTACCAGACATTTGGAAAAATCTAATCAATGGTAAACATTCGGAAAGAGCTGATGCTAAAGCAGTGAATTCTTCAGAAGACCAATCACGAATGTTTCTAAATTGTAAATTAGGACTAATTTGAGCTATTCCCCATTTGATGACTTGATCCCAAACTTCATCTTCAGCCATATCCAAATCATCACGTTTAAGTATTGGCAATAATAAAGATTCATCAATCTTTAAGAAGTCGGATGATTTAAATAATAATTCAGGATCAGAAGAAATTGTAGCTAATATAAATTCTCGTAGATTGGCACAAGAATCATGCGATAATGTTGCCTGATAGACTTTCAAGATATAAGAATGTAACCAATCCGATTTTGTTTCTATTAAATGATCTTGAATGAAATCCAATAGATCTGTGAGTAATAATTCATCAGCAGCTGCTAATATTTCTAGCACTTCCATTATATCTCTATCATTCAAGGTAATCGTTCCACTATATATATAACTATAAATATATATATTTTATATATGTTAATAATTTTGTTTATTTATACGACGTTAAACATGTTAAAACTTACTTGAGAATGATTTCGAAAACCTTTGGAGTAACATTAGGTTGTTTTAATACTTTGGAATCACCTTCTTTCCTGGCCCATTGTTCTGATAGAGCAGTTTTATAGTAACTACATCTAGCCCTTAAGATCAACGAATGAGCCTGAAACGTTTTCACGTTTTCATCTTTTCCAACATGAATTATCACATTATATTCATCACTGTCGCTTAATAAATTTATTATTTCTTGGGAGAAAACCGATAATAACTTGTAGGTCATTTTTTATTTTTGTAAACTATTATTCGATTGTTTTGATCTTTTTTTTTTTTTTTCAGTGAAAAAATAAATGTAAAGATTAATCGTTAAAAAAGATACTGGTACATAGTACGTATGTAAGTACGTAAATTTATATATAATATATATATACAATATAACATATATTTACCAACACTGCAGTATTTAATACAACTATTTACATATAGTTTGATAACTTATTCAAATAATTGAAAATGATGTATGTACATGAATGCGGCAATTCAATGCAAATTTCGTTTTATGAAACAAGAAAAGGAAAGAAGGCAACTCGTTTTAGGTATTATTGGTTCGAGTATTTATATCTTTTCACAGGTTTTACGAGCTATTTATGCATACCTCAATGTTTACTAATATGCTGTAATGCATGTCGATAGCTAAGAATATCGGCTAAAAAAAAAAAAAAAAGCTAAATTATTTTTATAATAAAATATATGCTGCTCCTTATAATGGATAAAGTTTCACCACCCGAGAATAATAAATTAAATGTCAACTGAGTAACTCGTTTATTACTGTATTATAAATAAAGAATGACCGACCATAAGGTCGTACATTTTAGAATAACGAAAAAATAAATGAATATCACTCTATTGTTACACGATTAGATTTACAACAAGTCTCTTAAGCACAAGATCAATTTTTATCGTTATTTCATCCCATGATAAAAGCGATCTCTACTACATACTACTATTTACTGCATGATTCGCAATTCTCCCTATATGATAACTTTAATCTAGAAGCAAATAGTGTTGCTGTTTTGTACTTGGGACATGTGATACTCGGGACTTTTTAAATTCTGCCATTTCGGTAACGATAAAATTTTTCGCATATATTCTAATTGGATGTAATTTTTTACGCATTACTTAAAAAAGTAAAATTCTAAACTCACGCTTAAATTAATTCCTTGAAGGGAAATTATCAATTCCCTTTTGGCATTATTAATTACGTAATTCATCTAATATTAGATATGGTATAAAGAAGGAATTCATTAATGTACAATAGGGCGGGCATTAGTAAATATTTTGATATTATTTATTCCTTTCATATAGTCATAAACGTCAATAATACGTATAGAATTTGAGTCAACCGGAGTTTGCCGGGTTGTCCCTCCCAAAGTTGAAACAAAAATATACACAATTAACAATTAATTTCAAAAGTTTCAAAAGATTACTAGTTTCAAGATTTTAAGTGCACGTACATTAGAATTGTCTTTTTAGAAATGAATTGACAAAATAAGAACTTAAACATCAGACTGTACTTATCATGCGTAACATTTTAATTTATTACATTATTTGTTTAGTGTAACGGTTTATGTGTAATTAACGTACGTTACGTACGTAGTATTTACGTTCGTACATACGTGCGTATCAGATTTATAGTTGTGCGGAACGTAGACTGCACTTTGGAGCATTTTACATTACTTTGCTCTTAGTATTTACTGAAATATTGAACTATTATTAATAATTAGTAAATATTGTTGTCGATATGGAAGAATATGTTTACAAAACGGCTGTAAATTGTCAAATAACTTACTTACAATTATTATCATAATTCCTGGAATACCTGGTAAAAATTAGCCGAATGATTTTTCGGCCGATTCGGTTAAGTTTGTGATTTCGACATAATAGATTTAATAGATATAGTATCTGGTATCGGTATATGGTGTATACGTGCGTAATTTAAGATCAGGTGACTAAAGATAACAATCACACGATAAGTCACATGTAAAATTTTCCATTATTCACTACAAAACTATTGATATAACGGAAATCTAGACAAGCCTAAAAGTTTCGTTATATAACATATTCACTATATCTTATAATGGAATAGGGTTTGCCAAATATTAAATTCCGTTATTGACCTATTCAGTCCAGACTTTTTAATAGTCCATTAGTAAATCGCAGTCATAGAATTGTGCTCTGATTGGTTGCCAGCCGATGCATTATATTAAATTCGTTAGAATTTTAATAATAAAATCAGTAAATGGGCTAGTAAAGATTCTGTTATAGTAAATGGCCATTTACTATTGAATTCTTTGTAATCGTTTTAAATTGTCTATTAAAAATTCGGTACTTCAAGTTTGATCCGTTACACCAATGAATCCGATGTAAGGGTGTCTGTTATATCGATAGTTGACTGTAGTCAAATGATCAAAATTTCATACATTATTTAGTGCAAAGAAGCTAGTCTATAAAAAAACTTTTTATTTTCATATAGATTTTATTTCAAGAAATCATCTTGTTTATTTTTTAGCATTAAAAGTATCTTGTAAATTTTGTGTAGTGGATAAAAATATAGCTGAATAGGATTTAGTTATAGTTGTACTACAGTACATTATTGCAAATTATATGTATACCAGAATTTTTAAATTTTTAGATTACTTACTGTAAATGTGAAAGAATTAAAATAACCGGTGGTGATCATCACCGCCACTTATTTTAGGGTTAGGTGCAGTTTAGAGTAGTTCAAATTTTAGGTAGAGTTAGGTTTTTGGGATCTAAACATTTTTGCTTAATATTTCCGACATGAATTACTAGTAGGTTTTTAAGATATAGCATTCCAGTGATAATCACCACCAGTTTATAGTTAAAAATACAGCCGTACTCCTCTATAATCACCTCTTACATAATCACAACTTCTATATAACAAAAATTTTTAAACCAATTTATTAATAACCTTATTAAAAAATACCTCCATATAAGCACATAATTGGTGGTGGGTCAGTAGAAATGCACCAAATCTTTTAATGAAATTTTTTAAATTTTTTAAAAAAAATAACTCAATGAAACTTAATCAAATTTAGTAAAAATTTATATTAAATTTGATTGTTATTGTTGAGTTATTTTTGTTCAAAGTTTTAAAAAAATTTACTTAGAAAAAATTTGGTGCGCTTCTACTGACTCACCCCCAGTTATAATCATATATTTGTGTAAAACAAACTGAATGATTATAGAAGAGGGCGACTGTATTCTATATAAAAGTACTATTTGGATTTTAAGTATCTTTTTACGAATAATAATATTAAAGAATATAGATACTATATATATCAAATAATATGATAATAATAGGGAACAGGTATTTTACAACCTTGTAAATTATAAATTATTGTTACCGGAAATTCTCGAAATAGCGGTATCTGCGCGCTATTTTGACTACGTGCGCGTTCGCCCATGGGTGTCATTTCGAGATAAAGTATTAATTCTGGAATCTGATTGTTACTAATGTTATAAACAGGTCGAATGAATAAGTATTAGGTAAATATCGGATACAAGACTTCTGATATGCTATATTTAGTGGTATCAGGTGCATATCGGAAGTTTGTATTCCGATATTCACCTGATACTTTGCGATTTTCGAAATAAGAATTTACGGTATGAAATTATAAAGATATTGCGATGTGATCCAAATTTCCAGCTTAAAAATTGAGTAATGTAATATGACGCTTCATTTTTGCTGCAACTATAATGCACTTTATGTTTATGCTCGTGATCAGAGGTGTGGAAATATCAAAATCGGGTGTGGAAATACCTGTTCCATAATAATATTATTAAAAAGAACTTAAGCCTTAATTAATAAAGCGAGATTAAAAGAAGATTCGATGACAGTTTGGCCCTTTTTATATTAAGTTCATGTTTACAATTCTGATGTCTTTAGCAAGTTGTAAGTTAAAAATATGGATTATCCATGGGTTTTTGGATTTGACCGAATATATCCAATTTTATAGGATCCGAATTTTGGGGCCAGCTCCAACAAGTCCGACCCATGCTGGACCAATCCATAGATGCACCATGGATAATGTTTTATGTACTGTACGTGCGAACATTTTGTTACTCTTGGCGAAACAAATCGTCACACAGTAGGTTTGGAGAACCATTCTTCTATCCTAATTTAGCTGCAAAAGGTGACACGCACAAATAGAACAAAAATAAGAGAAAATAAAGTGTAGCACAGGCAATAACATAAATATGTTTGAATCTTTTTTTTCCTATACTGTACAAATTACGTTATTTACGTTATTTGAACTGCCTTTTTTTAGTAAACCGGGATTATGAAATCTATTTTGATATTGATTATTCACCTTGGTATTTTTATCCACATCAATGGCGTAAACGCACAAGCTGCAATCAACATTAATAATTTTACTCCTCCTCCGAGAGCAGAACAAGCTGCAATCCTCATTAATAATAGAATTTACTTCAATGGCGGGTGGAATGGCAACAACTTTGTTTCTGATTTTTTTTATCTTGACGTTTCAGGACCTTTCACGACAAATGATATAGCATCGATGCCTTGGACTGACCTTTCCTCAATTCCAGGCCGGATAAATAGAACTTTCTCAACAGCTTGTATCAGTGAAATAAATAAAGATCAAATTATCTATTTTAGTGGCGGTACCATCGCAGTAGGTGATAATTTCACTTCTATATTTGATACTAGAACACAGCAATGGATCACACCAAATACTTCAGGAAATTTTACCGCAGTAGAACGAAAATCCGCAACATGTATTGTTTCGGGAAATGAAATATATATCTATGGTGGATATGATGACTTATTTAGTATGATTAAATTAGATACATTAAATTTGATATGGTCGACATATTATCCCGGATTTATTGCACCTATTGGTCTTTTGGGTTATAGTGCTACGCTCTTAGACAATGCTTCTATATTGTATATGGGGGTAAATTACATCAAGCATCCTTCGTCGATCTCTCATACATTTTAATGGATAAGGTTTTAATATTATTGTATTCGATCAATTCAGTATAAATTCCATCTTATATAATAATAATTAACTTTATAGGTAAAGTGTACCACCGTTTAGGTTTGTACGGCAAGTTATGATATTGTTTAATACGAGGGTTTCAAACCGTCATTTTTACATACCTGCATCCCGCATGACCAACTCTATAGCTACCGATGTATGATATACATAATAACACCTGGAGTTATGTTGTAAGTTATTTCCAAAACTTGTAATTGAGTGCAGGTTTTCTAATCGCAAAATTTATGCAATCAATATCGATATCTTTGTTACAATTGCATGTTCATAATGACAAAAACGATGTATCGATATGTCAGGAACACGGAATTTATGATTTACTGCGATTTGCTGTGGTTTAAGTTCGTTGAGAACTATCGATTTCACAAAAATTATATATAATAATTAGTAATTAGGTGATTTGATGTCTATAGTTTGTCAAGAATTGCACTAAACAAATCGCATAATATCAATATATCATCTAAACGATTAGAAACCTAATCGTACACGTGCTTGTACGCACGTCATTGGTTAGATTTTTGCATTCTCAAATCTAAATTCGTATACCAGAAATGAACTAACGTTTTTTACATAGCATTTATACTTGATAATTTATTTAGACTACATCAGGGAACATTCCTTATTCACGCTGCGACCATGGATCAATCTACATACGTAAGTAGCATTAGCTTCACGTTGTGGTTGTTATATTTTTCAATTATGGTGATGATATCTCCTTTTCATCGTTAATATATTTAGCTCAGTATAATCAAATTTTAATATTTTATGGATATCCTGATTCTTCATTTGTTGCACTTGATACCTTGAATTTCGTATGGTCATATCCTTCAGTTTCAATTAACAATGGTCTTCAATATCAATTAATCCGGTTTACTTCGATACTAATTGGTGCTTATATTCTAATTGCATTTGGAAATGACCGTAAGCACATGTTATGATGTTACGATTTATTAATAAGTATTTTCATATGACTAACTTTCAACTCTTTAGATATAAGTGACAATTTCTCAAATAATGTTTTTCTTCTTGATGTAAGTCAAAAAAATAATTATAAATGGTCTACATCATACGATCCTACCAAACAGCTCCAATCAATCACTACCACCACTACATCCGTAATATCACCAACATCCAATATTTCGCATGATTCATTACCTGTTAACATTGGGGCAATAATTGGAGGCATATTTGGTGGAATTGCCGGAATTATAATATTATCAACAGCCGCAGTTATTGCAATCAAAAAATATGGTAACCCACCTCTTTTTACTTCAGAAGAAGAGACAAGTAATCAACCAGAATCATAAAGTTACACTATGCTACTCTATTATCTGGTATAGAGAAAATTGTGACTTATGATTTTGAATATAACTTATGATCCATTATGTAAAATTCAATAAATTTATGTAACTACTATTGAGATCGTTACTGGTGTTATGAAATATCCTTTACATGTATTGTTATCACTCGATAAGAAACTTCTATTTTCATATGTACTGTACTTTCCATATTGAGATTTTTTATGCTACGTACCACGGTCACAAAGTATAACAACGACTTTCTAGATCGTTAGCTGGACGATTCTGTGTAGGTGACCAATCAAATGCATTATCACGATCAGCTTATTGCAGTATGTAAAATGTCGGAGATTTCCGTTTACAGCTGTTTTCATAATTCCTGAAACGCCTGATAAAAATTAGCCGAATAATTTTTTGGCTGTTCGATTAAGTTTTTGTAATTTGGACATAATACGTACAGTGCAGGACAACATTTTATTAACAAGTGGCCAGATTTTAAAATTATGTAATCAATTCTGATTAGCTAATTTTATATAATCAAATTGTGATTGGCTAGATTATAATATTAATGGCCAAATTTTCAAACCATTATATTTTAAACTGTTATAACTTATTAAAATTAAAGTAAAATAAAAATCTTTTCTAGCCAAATTGTAGCTTAGACTTTAAACTTCAAATTTGGTTAAAAAAGGTTTAAAAAATTTTTATCATTTTTTGTGAATAAGAGGTGATGTAATTTAAGATCAGGTGATTAATATAGATATTATAAGACTATATACGTATATTTCTGGTTGAATACAGAAATATGATACTTTCAAAGCATCTTCACTGGCACATAATTGAAAAAAATTATAAGGCTTATCATTTCGAAAAATAGTCAAACACTTAGGTGTTAGCATATCTTCTATAAGTCTGGTTCCTATAATGATCATACCGAAACCACAAACTTAATCTGAATCGGCCGAAAAATCATTCGGCTAATTTTTGTGTTCAGGAATT